TTGGAGACACTCGAATGGCAGGCATCGAAAGTCATTTTCATTTGAACACACACAGAAAAATGTACGTTACATTTTGAAAAAAAAACTAATGATTAAATCAATTTTATTGGAACCCCATTTATATCAGAGTTTTATAAGTTTTTATTTTTAAATTTCTTTAGAGAACTCGAGGAATAAACACAGCTATTTAGTTGAGTTATATTTAAGAGTCAAATAAGTCGAAGTTTTTGTAATATACTTTTGAGCATTTGATTCTATATTGTTTAGAAAATTTTTTGTAAAACCAAATTGTAAAAAAATTTACAAACAACCAGACTTTTTTATTGAAGCACATATGGCTTAAAAGTATTATTTACGAACTTCCGGTAAAAGCCGCTTGTGCAAGTTGCCTACCATAATTTCTAATTAAAAATTATTCATATTTTCTTCTGTGTAACCATGTGGCTGGCAATTGGAGTTTGCGTTGCATTTGTATTTTAATATCACAGTTGCCCACCCGTGCGCCAGTTGTTTGGCCCGGGGATGTGTTTCTTTGGCTTTTCCTGGCTCTAACCTGGCTTCAACCTGGCTTCAACCATGGACAAAAGGCGAGCAGGCGATCGATCGATCGCATGATTATTGCCGCAGCTGTTTGATGCTGATTGGTTTGGCAGCCGCAAGTCGACAGGTTAGACAGCCGACACGTCTCAAGAGTGGGTGGCAAGTGGGAGGCAGATGGAGATTGAGGCAGCCAGTTGGAGAGCGAAATATCTGAAATTGGCAATTTGCAACTCATTGTCAAAACTCATTAATCCCATTTGCCATTTTTGACTGTTAGCATTAATTTCGCCATTTAACCCGACAACTCAAGTGGAGCTGAAGCTGAAGCTGAAGTAAACGCGACTTGATTAGACACTGCAGCGAGTCACGACGGATGGCCAAGCTTCTCCATCTGCATCTCCGTGCAATTATGGCTAATAATACAGCTGGGGGCTGGGATTTGACTAAAACTGACAGAACAACGCCCAAGCCCACAGCCACCTGCCACAAATACACAGGAAAAAACATGGATCACTGGGTATAAATAAAACAAAATTGGCATATACAATTATCACAATTTGCCTGAGCAAAAAAAACATACAGCAAATAGTGTTAATAGATAGAATAGATGGAATTATATTGCAACATATGATAATTTTGGAAGTATTATTAATAGAAAATAAAGATATAAAAATCAAATTTTGGTAGCTTATTAATTTGATTAGCTTATTGACGTTTAAAGAACGATACAAGAAATACAGATTATTTTCAAAAGACGAAAATTGTTTAAATAATTCAAAGAATTCAAGGGCTTATCCAAGGAACAAATTCAGATCTATTTAAAATATAAGCTTTTCATGTGTCCCAGAAATGTCCTCATATTTTTTAAAAATGGTATTTTATCAAAAATAGATATGCTTTCTAAAATCGACCAATTTTTCATAGAAAACCTATCTAATTCGATTAATAAAATATAAATAAATTTGTCCCTGTGCGATTGACACTGGCAGCGCATTAATCTTGGCCAGAGTCGACTCGATTGGTATTGGTTGATATCTGGAGCTGAGGCTTGCGGCTTGGAGCACGCAGCTCCAAGCTGAAACTGAAGCCTCCAATGGCAAACGAAATGGAAATGCATTCAGCCAGCCCAAAAGAGCCGTCGGCGTTTGGTGTGCACGACTTTTCAGCTTTTCAGCCATTGCCAATCGAACGATCGATCTGGCTGCGGATCACCATCGCGATCGCGCCATCGATCGATCGGCATTCGTTTGTTATTTATTTATTTATTTATTTATTGCGGCTCTACAGGGTGTTATTTATGGTTCTGTTTGTTTTTGCCTTCTTGTCAGATTAGTGTCCAGCTTTACATCCGCCATGCTCTGTGGCCGGATACCGGGCCTGACTCCCGGCCAGCGGAACATGTGCCGCGAGATGCCCGACGCCCTGATCGCCCTGGGCGAGGGCCACCAGCTGGGCGCCCAGGAGTGCCAGCACCAGTTCCGGGGACACCGCTGGAACTGCTCGGAGGTGTGGCAGCGCAACGTCTTCGCCCATGTCATACCCACAGGTGAGTGCATGTGCATGTGCATGTGCATCCCCAACCCAATCCCATCACGACATAAACGCCCTCGCTGGGAGTCACATAAAATTGTGCCAAATGCGATTGGTAATTTACGATATTTGATGTTATAAGATAATTGGTCCCAAATGTTTAAGATTTTTATTTGTCAGAGCATAGGAAGTGAAGAAAGTAAATGTTAAGTAAAAATGGTTGCCATAAAAAGCAAAACAAATTCATGTTATTATATAATGGCAACCCACAATTGAAATTTTAGAGTCTAGAACTTCACTAAATTTAAGCCAATTTCATTTTATGACGTACCTTTTAAGCCTTGTGATTTGATTCTCTAAAACTCTGTATTTAAATTTGTCAATTTAACGTTGATACATTTGTTTGATCATTTTCATGTTAATTATTTCTTTGTTTCCAAAAACTTGTAAAAAGCATACATACATTAAAAGCACATAAGATTAACAAATTTATGCCGACATTATGCCACATTCCTCTTAAGGCTTGTGGTTTGATTTTCTTATAATCTGCATTCAAATTTTACTTTATTATTATTCTTAAACTAAGAAAATATCATGTCTTAATTTATGTGAACCTCTTTCCATATATTTATGACCAGCTTCGCGAGAGGCTGCCTACACCTATGCGATAGCCAGTGCTGGAGCGGCGTACGCGGTGACCGCCGCCTGTGCCCGGGGTAACATCTCCACCTGCGGCTGCGATGTGCGGCACAAGGCCACGCCCACCGCGGGAGGAGCGCCCGACGAGCCCTGGAAATGGGGCGGGTGTTCGGCGGACGTGGACTTCGGGATGCGGTACGCGCGCAGATTCATGGATGCCCGCGAACTGGAGCGAGATGCCCGCACGCTGATGAATGTGCACAACAATCGGGCAGGGAGAACGGTGAGTTATAAGACTTGATAGATAATCTTTAATACATCTTAATAATTATGTGTTTTACTGCTTAGCTGGTCAAGAAGATGCTACGCACCGATTGCAAGTGCCATGGCGTGAGTGGCTCCTGCGTGATGAAGACCTGCTGGAAGAGCCTGCCGCCCTTTCGCCTGATCGGTGATAAACTCATGCAGAAGTATCAAAAAGCCAAAACTGTTCAAGCCATCAAAGGCAAACGTGGACTGAGATTAGTATTAAGCAGGTGAGAAATCAAAAAAATGTATTTCAAGGTGTTAAGTTAATATATAAATTGGTATCGAAGAAATACAAAATTACCTTTTTTGAAATACTACAAGAAACAATCGAAGGGCATAATTAAAAAACCGATTTAATAAATGAATTATTTGAATTCCATATATTTGAGAGTATATTGAAAGAACAGATGCTAGAGATCCTCAAATATTTAAATAATTAGTAATTAGTAAATTTGGAAAACTATTACGTTTAATTACTCCTTTGAACAACAAAAATAAATAATAAAATAGGATGTGTAGTGTCCAGTTGCTTAACGCCGTATTTAATAAGAAATAACTAAGACAAATTTTGTATGAAGTCCAATGTTTTGTTTGTCCAATATATAAGTCTTTATAAGAAACAATTTTATTATTTAGTTGGATACCTGCAAAAGGTATATAAAAATAAAATATTAATCTCCCGTTCTTGTTTTTTTTTCTTCCAGAAAGAAGCATGCCGGCACCGCTCGTGCCCCAAAACCGGTCCTCGATTGGCCGAAGCGCATGGAGCTGATCTACCTGGAGGCGTCGCCCAACTACTGCGAGCGGAGTCTGCAGACGGGCAGCCAGGGCACCGCGGGCAGAACCTGTCAGCGGACCGGCCACGGCCCCCAGAGCTGCGACATGCTCTGCTGTGGGCGTGGCCACAACACGCAGCACATCCGGCGGACGAAGCAGTGCCGCTGCCAGTTCCGCTGGTGCTGCGAGGTCAAGTGCGACGAGTGCGACGAGAGCTACGAGGAGTTCACCTGTAAATAGAAGGAGCAGGATCCGAACGCTGCTAGTATTAGGGCTATGTCATAGGAAATGCGTTAATTAAGTATTATGAGAAATGTATTACACCCACAGACACACACACCACGCCACCATACAGACACATTCCAGAATAAAATATAACAAGTTAACATCCACATTTTATTGTTTTTTATTTATTAGTTTTTTGGGGTTTGGAAAAAGGGATTTTCTGAGATATATTTATTTTTAACATGGCTAAACAGCACTGTTTTGAACAGATGGGGACCTAAGCTAACTATTTTCTTTACTTTTGCCAATTTGTATCTGTTTTAAAAGGATTAAATTAATATTTTTGCCACTTCAAGATGATATGACAATCCATATATTAATGTTTTCGAAAGTCTTTGGCAAAAATACAAAGTTTTTTGAGTGTTTTCGAAATCCCTGTTCATAGACTGGTTTACAATTTAACTATTTTTACTAAACTTCAATAGCAAGTTATATTAAGCCAGCCACAGAATAGGAAATTCAGGTAAACTGACCTAGCAGTTGTCAAAATGTCCAATATTTTAGAAATAAAATCACAAAAGATGAGCATTTCACATATGTTTTATGATAAATCCCTAAAAAATAAGCCAAGATGTTGCCTACATTTGAGGGTGGTTCAAATAGTTGGCGCGCAGCATTGCCATCGCGAATTTGGGAGCAGCACGTAAGACCCACTTTCGGCTGGCGTAACGCAATGCGCTGGCTTCATATTTTGGTATTGGAATTCCGGAATCCATTAGGCTGACAGTTGGCAGCGACTCGAGATGCCAGCACTTGCCGAAGTGCGCGAGCGCCGAAAGGAAAATTCATTGATTGCAATCACGCGCTCTCCCGCTAGCTCTCACTATTCCCAAAGCTGGGAAAGTCGGAAAACTCACCACTAGCCAGCGAATCGGCGACTATATTAGCGACTGGCTCGCACGAGCGGCGCTCAGTTCTTTGAGGGTAGTTAGTTGGACAACGGCGTTGCCGAAAACGGGCCACCTCAGCTGCCGCACAATACATTTTTGGGTTAGGAACATACACACACTTATATGGACACGAATACCAATACACTCTCGCATGCCCACACACACACACACACCAACTCACACTCGCGCAGTATATGTATCTGGCTGAGAAATGTATAAGGCCAAGAAAAATCCAACTTAATTGCATTCGCAGCGGAGAAAAGTGAAAAAACAGCGCGAGAAAATTCCATTGACTGGCAAAAGTGCTTCGATTAAATGCATAAGTTCCCCATTAATATGTGTGTATCGCTGTGACTGTGTGTGTGCGAGTGTGTGTGCGAGTGAGTGAGTGTGCGTGAGTGGCAGCAATAGCGCTAGAGGCTGCTCCCTGGATACAGAAAAGTGATTTCCTGCAAAACGTGCAAAAAAAGCGAGTTAAAACCAAAGCGAGCAGGCAAAAAAGCCGCCTACAGCCCCTAAAATCGTGTGACAAACTCAAGAAACCATTTAAGATATACCCTACATATATATATACATCATGGTGTGTGTGTGTATATGTATGGAATACATGTACGAACACACACTGTCAATCAAAAGGAGTAATCTGCCCCACTAAACGCTGCCTATCGATTGGGGCAAAAAGCAGAAAAATTATTATAAATTGCTTCAACCTACATATAAGCCATGCGAGTTATACACACACACTCGCATTCGCACACCCACACAGAGACACACACACGTACGCATACGCCTACAAAGAGACATTAAGTTTGAAAAGCTATAAGCTGTATAACAGAGCCTAGAGCCGAGCGAATGAAGTGGCAGAAGGTGGGGTGCCAGCATAATGTTGAGCCACCCAAACCACCCAGGCCACCCAAAAACCACCCACTTAGCTCCACACCCCCCCTCCACCACCTTTCGTTACGTCGAACCTTACGCTCTTCGTGAGCGTAACTCGTGCGTAGAACACTCTCCACTCCATTTTGCGGAGCACTCTTCAACTCCCTATCTCTCTGTATCGCTGTGTGTGTGTGTGTGAGTGTGTGCCTCGAATGTGTGTCAGCGGGAGCGAGTGTAAAAAATATCCTCGTTGGGCACGAAGCCACCAAAACCACTTGAAACAAAAGGAAAAAAGAAAGAAACACTTTGTGAATGAAGACTTTAATTAGTTTAGCTAGAAAACTCACGCGGTTTAATTATCCTCCCACACAGCCATGTACATAAAACAAAAGCCGTTTAAATCATACACAAAATGCAATTAGCCAGCGAGCGCACGCCACGAAAGTCAACAAACTAACTAAGCCAGTGTCATCAACTAAATTAGTGCAAGCAGCTAGCCGACCGGAACCGGAAATGCCCATTGAGCCGCCTGACAACAACCACAGCAACAAACACAAACGCAATCACAAGCCCAACTGCATTGGCAACGGCCATAAAGCCGAGCAACAAATCGCCCACACACACATGTAGTGGCAGCGCGAGTGCGTCAGTGTGTGCGGGCTCTGAAAACCGGAAGCGGAAGTCGAGGCGGAGGAGCAGGAGGATCGGAAGGATCAGAAGGATCAGAAGGATTGGAAGGATTGGAAGGAGGAGGAGCAGAAGCCGGAGCAGATAGATTAGACAGTTTTTCATTCGCCCGCAGTTCGTTAAGGAAAATCATTCAAAATTCATCGCCTAAGCAAAGCGGGTGAGCTATTTAACCATATTACGTATACGTAACGACACCCACACCAACATACACACCCACACACATCCAGAGACACACAGAAAGAACTTCAATTTATGATGTGAACCGTAAGCGATATTGATTTCTGATTTGTGATTTGTGCGTATGCCTTGTGTAACAGGAGCTCCCATAATTTAACCGTAATCAGTTATGAGTAATCAGTTTTTTTTTCATTCTTTTTTGCCTGCCTTTGTTCTCTCTTTTACTCTCGTACTCCTCTATCTCCCGTTCGTATCTGTTGTGTCTTCTTTTCTTCTACTTTGGCCAGGACCATATATATATATTTTATGATCCCCGATTGCCTAGATTTAGTTGGAGTCCTAGAACGTAGCCGAGTAACTTAGTTTAGCGAGTAAATTTAGACTACTTTCCATGCATTACCCATACGCCCCGTTCGATCAATCAATCATTCAGAGATTGGCAAGCAATTTGGAAACTTATAATTAGATATGTGGATGGGTTCTTTTTTTTGTGGGGCAGGCTCAACGCAATTCGAATGCTCGCATGATTTGTCAGTTTTTATGTTTCTTTTTTTTTTTGTGAGGGTGTGCCAGCCGCCTCCTTGCGTGTCAATGTTGCGGTGTTTGCCTTTATTATTTATTTCTTTCGGTTGTTATTTGAGTTGCCTGCTCTAATTTTAGATCAGTCGAATAACTTTTATTGATTTCAAATTTTAACCTTATTTTACATGTGGCCCAGGGTGTGTGTGTGTGTGTGTGTGCGGGCCAAGAAAACGCCGCCAATCCATACATTGGGGCAGTGGTAACAACAAAATACGGCAAAATATTTTACGATGACGCTATTGTTGTGAGCGGGAGCAAAGGAAAGCGGAATGGGAATGGGAAGTGCGATGGTGAGATGGAACGCATTTGCGCACTGCCCCCAGTGTGGTGAGTTCTCTCTCCGGCTTTGCCTTTCTCCGGGGACGCCTCTTTGGATTTTTTTTCGGGGCTATTCAACATGTTTGTTTTGGGGTGGAGACGCCCGGAGGCAGATTGCTTGATAAGATGTCCCCTGGCCATCCGACCGCAGGCCGGAGTCGGGAGTCCGGACAACAATCGTACAGGATTCCAGTTTTAGCTGCAGGTCCCCTAAGTATGCAGCTCAAAGTGCAATCTGTCTCCCTCCCTGTATATACATATATATCTACATATATATAGATGTTTGCCCAGCAAAGTGCTGTGCCTGAGGCTCCCTAATGGCATGGCGATGTAATCGAATCTGGGCCTGATATTTTATGGCCTGTCTGCCATATCCTGACCTCATCTGCTGGCGCTTCCTCCATCTTTTATGTCGCCATTCTCTGGCACACTCACACACACACACACACACACACTGTGACAGGAACAGGATCAGACGGAGACTTCCTCCGCATGGCTGTGAATGGGCTTCCGGCTTGCTGATTCGTTTAGCTTTCATTTGAGCCGCTGCAGCTGTCGCACTGTCCGTACTGCGGCCGTTGATATCCGCACTCTTGGCCCATTCACAGCGTCAAAAGCGTCAAGACTTTGCTCCGACTTATCGCCAAGCCGCATTGTTTATGCGGGCAGCTTAATTGCAATTTGTATTCATGACATTCACACCCACGGTCATTTAAGTCCATCCAAATCCTAAATAAATTAAAAAATCGCATTCATTCTTGATTACAAATCGAAGCTTCTTGGCTCTAGAATGCAAATTCAAGATGTTAAAATAAATCTAATATAAATTCTCATGTGTGCCAAACTTGGCTGTGAAACTCTGATCTCAATAGAACATGTGTTTCTTATTAATATCAAAATAAAATTGTAAAAACGATATTTGGACTGACAGAATGCTTTATTTCTCATTTAAAACGTTTAGTTTTGTCAAAGTAAAAATCATTGATTCAATGTAAAAATTTATAAAAGTCAATAACTTATTATATTTTACTTTCTTGTTTTAAAACATTTCTTGAACAAATTTGGAATTTTAATTTTAATTTTTTAATCATTAATAAATTACTTTTCATTTATTAATTATTAAAATTAATAAGAAATATGCTTTGATAAAGTAAAATAAAAAAAAAAGTCTGTCAAAGCTGCAAAAGCCTTATTCCCCTTTTTAATTTGCATAAAAATAAATTGAATTGACCAACTGATTAGAGACCGGCCCAGATCAATGTAAGATAGACCGCATAAACTCCGTCTGTCAGCTTCTGTGGGAGACTTCTTTTTAGCCAAGAAGCAACCGCTCAAGTGGCAATTTGCATGCGATTTGTTACCGTCTCCAAAGAACCAAAGAACACACATTTGCATAGAGCCGCCATAATGCAATGCTCGGCGAGATGTATTCGCTCCGCCGCAGCCATCCCCCTTTTTGAGTCCTTTTGAGTCTGTTTATGGTATTTGTTTATGCGCTTATGGCCCGGTGGTGAGACAGCTCCTGGCTGAGATTTAGGTAAAAAGGTTAAGGATATGCAAGTTGAGCTAGAGCCAATTTAAATGCAAAGAAGGAAGCTGCTGAAGAGTGGCACGTTTTGGGATTGCGAAAGCCTTGGCTTTCAGTGTGCAGCGGGGCGTATGCGTAATGTATTATATTGCTTATCACGAGAGAGAGCATCTCGATTGTGTGCCATTGTACTATTGTGTGTATGTTTTTCGTTCTCTTCTCACTTAATATACTTGCAGATGCCGCACAAGAGAGAAAGAGAGAGAGAGTCGCGAATAGATCAATCAATTAATCAATCAAAACCGAGCATATCAACCGAGAGGCCAATACCACAACCAGAGAACCGAAATCAAAGTTCAACGTTGCATTTAAGGTGTCCGGTAGCCGAACTTCCACTTGCACTCCGTGATTGTGTGATTGCATGCCGCGGATGAGCCGCGGATTATGTCACGTGACGATTATAATCCAGTAACTAGCTCTGGTGTGCGCAGTCCGGGTCGCGTGCGGCGTCTCCAGGAATTGCCGACGGTCGATCGATCCCCATCCCGGGACTACGGCGCTCCACGCGGAAGTCCTTTAGGTGAATGACCACTCCATCCCATCCGAAACCGAAACTGAAACCAAAAACCAAAACCGAACCGAACCGAATCTCTGGACCTAGTCCAAGCAATCCGAGCACAAACGTAGTCCTGCACTTGGCCAGTATCTCAGTTTGTGCGAGAGCCCTGCGAACAATGATTTACTATATTTTCTCACATTACGATCAATTGGCTATGCTTTAACCGATCTAGAAATTACTAACCCTCTGTGCCGAGCAGATGTCATTCAAAATTCCGTCAAAATCATTATGCAAAATTAACGCTTCTGTTTTGAGATTTGTATACCGCTCGCTAGCTCTCTACTTGTTAACCGCCATATATAACTATTTTCATTTCGTACTATTTGTAGTCGACTCAACTAATGCAATTTCTAACTAAAGTCTATTATTTCTGTCTAACATCACACGCATGCGCATGGTACATAAATTTGATTTCATTTCATTTCACTTGATTCGATTTTCATTTATTTCGTATTTCGTTTCGCTTCACTCATCCTGCGAATCTCTACCGATTTTCATTTCAATTAACCCACACAAACGGCACTCGACACTCAAACACTCAAACACTCGAACACTTGAACACATGCAAATTGAATTCCATGTGGGGATTGGATGGAAATTTTCCGCAAACGCTGTTGCAGCTGCCGGGAAATTGCATTAGAACCGGGAACCGGGGAAAAAAAAACAGGACTGGGAAATGGGCCACAGCTGAGCCATTGAGGCAAAGAAAACCACTGCGGAGAAGTGCACCTTGAAAACTATCACTGAAACTTTGCCCGGAGCCGCGAGCTGATATCAAAGCCTCAAACTGGATTACAATTATGGTTAGCTAAACTGTTTTGCACTTGAACGGGGTCAGCACTTGATTATACCAGCTAATTAGCATTTGGCCGCCATTCAGGGGGCTAAAATAAACCATTTATGAGTTGAACACTGAGCACTGAACACCGAACACCGAACAGCAAACACTGACGAACAAGGACGTTGGCGGAACCGCAAATTTAGTTTCCAGCTCTTGACGTGCAAAATGATTTCGTGCCGGGCAAAACTTAGTTTATGGCCCTCGAAGGTGGGCTGAAATACGACCCAGAAGCCAGGACACACAAAGTAGCGGAGGTTTACGGACTGGGTTGCAAGTTGTGGGTGTGCAAAGTAAAGCCAGAACACGACAAACACTTCTCCCACCCTTCGTTTGTTGAATTTTCCTTTATTTTCCTTTTTTTCATCTCTTTTTTTAAGTTACCTGCGTTCCTTGCCACTAACCTAACCTAACCGAAAAAAAGAATAAGAAAAAAAAGCGAAGAAAATGAGGCAGAGACTCCACTGCACTAGTTGCCACCTCTAGAAAAAACACTCTGTATACTGTTTTTTTTTTTTTTTTTGGTTGCGTTCTTTTTGTTCTGGTGGCCGGAAGAGGAGCCGAAACGAAAACACGAAACAACCACCTGAATACCACCACCAGAGATAAAACCACCACCCGTCCGTTCCGTCATCCTCATTTGGTCATCCTCATGAATTCTGTGTGTGTGTGAATTTCAGCAATGGGCAGTCCATACTACCGCGACATGGATGAGCCAACAAGTCCGGCCGGAGCGGGACACCATCGCAGCCGGAGCGCCAGCAGACCACCGATGGCCCATGCCATGGACTATCCAAGTAATGACCGTCTAAGCACCCTGAAAAAGGGTTATATCACAGGGGTCAATCTGGTCTGATCCTTAAGTTCAATATTTAAAATAGAATATTTACTCCTTGAAAGTTCATAAAGTTAAGAAAAAGTGAATTATTTAAAGAAAGCCTTATTAAAAAGATCAAATTGACCTCGAAACATATTATCTTAATCCCAGATATAATTTACCCCTGTGCAAACCCTTATAAACAACCCATAAACCTAATATTTCCCATGATAATCTTTCTTAGGAACCCGCTACCAATCGCTGGATCGCGGTGGACTCGTGGATCCCCACGATCGCGAGTTCATACCCATCAGAGAGCCCCGCGATCGCTCCCGTGACAGATCCCTCGAGCGGGGACTGTACCTAGAGGACGAGCTGTATGGCAGATCGGCGCGACAGAGCCCCAGTGCCATGGGTGGATATAATACGGGCATGGGACCCACCTCGGATCGAGCTTATTTGGGCGACCTGCAGCACCAGAACACCGACCTGCAGCGGGAGCTGGGCAACCTGAAGCGGGAGCTGGAGCTGACCAACCAGAAGCTGGGCAGCTCGATGCACAGCATCAAGACCTTCTGGTCGCCGGAGCTCAAGAAAGAGCGGGCCCTGCGAAAGGAGGAGAGCGCCAAGTACAGTCTGATCAATGACCAGTTGAAGCTGCTCAGTACGGAGAATCAGGTGAGTTCGGACTCTAGACCAAAGGAGCACTTGGATGGTATTAAATTGTCAGAAGAAGGGTCTTGTATTTGTGATACACAATTTTATGTGCCATTAAGCTGGACAAATCTACTTAAAATATTGATCTAAACAAGGGGAGAAATTTAATCAGTTTCCATAGGCTAAAACAAAATTGTATAACTAAAATTCTTGCCTAAAATGGGGTTGGTCGATAATTATATAGTATTTTATCGCATCGAAATAAAGTATATCAACCCTCATTAGAGTTAGAGTTCCATAATCAATTTCATTGAGAAAGTTTATCTATTTTTTCACAAAATTACCACGTGGAAATGATTTTAACAATCAATCATATTTGCATAAATGTAGTTTTTAATTATTAAAAACTAAATAGATTTTATTATAGAAGCTAGTTTTAAATCCTGTTAATTACGTTAAAACCAAGAAACTGGTTTTCTTTTTCTCATATCATATCGTTCATGAAGAATATACCCCTACCCATATCTATTTTCTTTTTAACTTCTTAATTAATTTAAGACATTATTTTTATGTGAATCTAATACAATAATATCTCCCGACAGAAACAAGCCATGTTAGTGCGCCAGCTGGAGGAGGAGCTGCGTCTGCGAATGAGGCAGCCCAACCTGGAGATGCAGCAGCAGATGGAGGCGATCTATGCGGAGAACGACCACCTGCAGCGCGAGATCAGCATCCTGCGCGAGACGATCAAGGATCTCGAGTGCCGGGTGGAGACCCAGAAGCAAACGCTGATTGCCCGCGACGAGAGCATCAAGAAGCTGCTGGAAATGCTCCAGGCCAAGGGAATGGGTGAGTCCTTGATGACTGGGTGAAGAAATAATAGAGGCTAAGTGAGTTTTTACCCCATTTCCAGGCAAAGAGGAGGAGCGCCAGATGTTCCAGCAAATGCAGGCCATGGCCCAGAAACAGGTAAGACCCGATCAGATACTTTGGAGCCCCTTGCCAATCCTCACCGGAAAACAAGGGACGAGGTCGCGAGTCCCTGTCTCGCTCTCTATCTCCGCCATCTCTCTGTCTACCTCTGTATATCTCTGTCAATCTATCTCTCTAATTTTCTTTCGTTCGGCAAACAATGCTCTAGAGAATGATTTCGTACACGGGCAGCGGGGGAGAGAGGGAGCACTTTCCCTTTCTCCCCCCCGCCAGCCCTTTCTCTCTGAACACGAAAAAAACACAAAACTTTTTATGCATCTTGAGTTCGAAAACATTTGATGCAACATCAGAACTTTAACAACTTTTATTTTAACCCAATACACACACACGCAGACACAAAGCCTTATATACCCGATATATACCTACAAACACACACACACATAACTTATATATACATACCGCTTTATAACTGTTACAATCTAGTCAAAAAAATGAATTATAAAGTAGAGCCTAGAAAATGTTCGCTTTTATGACAACTGAAGCTTGAGTTGTTCGTAGTGTTTTCACACAGTTTTCCACTGTTGATTTTTCATTTCCCACATTGACAAGCACACACACACACACATGCACACAGCCAAAGACTGACACGTTTCATTCAGTTTGCTACATGTTTTGCATATTTTTTACTGTTTTGTTCTTGTTGCCGTTGTCGCTTAATTAATTTGCAACTTTGTGCCGACGAGAATGAGGACAGTGGAGGCAGTCAACATCAATGAACGTCGTTCAAATTAACATTAAGTGCAGTGCACTACCCATACATGTACCCGAGACACACCTACACATTCACCGGCACAGTCACCGTCACATTCACAGTTACACACACCCACGCACACACACTCAGACAGCAGCTTAGTCATTTCATTGTTCGCCACCCAATAAAATCTCGATTTTGTTGCACACTTTTCGGCGCCACAATGGATGCATCTTCGCTTGGCCCATTTATGTATGTGCAACAGTAATGCATTGCCAGCTCCAGGAAAAGTGCATTTCCATCTCCCTCCCCCCCGCCCCTTCTTATCCTCCTCCATTGTTGCATTCCATTATTTATCGAGGGGGCGGCGTCGTAACCGTAGTGCCTCCCCTCGGGAAATCAATCTGAAATAAGTCTGGAGTTGCTGCAACTGCAAGTTAACTTTTTACCCACCGACCTCCCCAAGGACATGGCAAACAACAAACTGCTTATTACTGATCCAAACCCACCCCCTCTAATTACATGTTTGCTCCCAGCTAAACTCCCACACAGACACACACGGCGTATGCGTAATATTCAGCACAAACGGAACAAAAGGCAGCCAAGCACACAGAAAATATACAGCGGGGCAAGGAAAAAACAAGAGGAAACGGGAGGCAAATAGGAAAAACCATTTCCAGAGCATGGTCAGACAGTTGGGCATATTCCCAGTGGGCAGCATAAATAACCTTGATACAGAAACAAAATCTATTTAAGGACAACAGACGCTGGCCAGAGAAAAGGCCAAAGGGAATACCGTGTACAAATGGAAATAATATTGTTATTATCCGATTGGCTTTCGGCATAAATGTTTTTCCTGGAAGTGCAACTTAAGTTTCTTTGTGAAATTTGGTTCTTCCCTCTTAGGAATTGGAAAATGCATTTTTAAATCTAGCCATCATAATGGGAAATGACAACTCAACAGCTAGCTAGAAGTCAAAGGCTAATTTGAATATTGAGATATGCATATTTTCTATGTGCTTTCTTTGGGAATGGCCATAAAAAATGACAGATATTAGCCAAGAATGGCCACTATCCTTGACTGAATTGTGAACTTCATATTTTATCTCTGCTCTGCATTCAGTCCCCGTGGCGTTAAAACCATTTGCATAAGCTTAACATCCTTTTCGGGCCACCATTTCAATGGAATTCACTGCACAATAAGTATTCAAATGGCGATTTTTTTCTGCTTATTTCTTGGCTCAGCGCCCATTGGCATTTTTCGGGAATCGCATTTCACTTCTGCGTAACGCTTTGTAGACTTTTTCCGAGCCATTGGTGGGGGGTCTATGGTATATTATATTGTACCAATTGAATGGAACGCAGAACAACAACTGCCTTGACCGGCGATTGGTGGGGCTCGAAATTAATTTGTCACTGATAAAGCAAACAAATGGTCGGAGGAAATGCGGCATAGTTACATGGCCCGGACAGCAGTAATTAAAAATCAGCCCACAAAACCGGACTAAAGAAAAAAAACAGCCCGCCCACATGCCCATATATACAAAAGAAAACAAATTTCGCCTTGCTTTTTCTTTGTTTTTGTATTTTTTGCCGGGCGAGCAATTAAAAGTTGTTGCGTATACGCCGCGTTAACAGGGCCGGAAAAGAGAGCAATCGGCTGGCGCAGTTCTTTCGAGGTCACTGCGTTTTACATTTCCTATTTTCGGTGCAGATTCTATTTATTGCAAACTGCAGTTGCCAGCCTATACCACCCATCGCACCCCACTTCCCCTCTCCCCCTTCAATCCTCTTTTGGGGCGAACTAAAACTTTCAATAATTCATCTTGTTTAGCAGTTGGCCCAAGTTGAGTCGCATTGAATCGACTTTTTTCTCTTTTGCTGCCCCGACTTTTGGCACTCTTATATAAGCCAGAGGCCCTGGGCACGCATGTATCTCGGTCGGGAATATGCGAATATATACTTTTACGAGAATTCTCTTGGTTTTATTGTCTACTTCTTATGGCCATTTAACCGACGCCACTTTGTCTGCTTGATGCTCAAACTTTCGGCTTACATTCTGCCCCCCAAACCCAGGCACTCTCAAACGCTTACACATATAATATGTACACAAATCTAACAAACTTATGCGATACTCAACCTTCTCACTTCTGGTGAACCCAACAACTACAACAACGAAAACGAAAACAACAACAACGAGACAGCTTGATTTGGAGCGTGAAATCAAGAAATACGCTCAGGAGGAGCAGGGGGTAAGGGTGAGTGTGTGTTTGCTACTCGTAAAACAAAAAAAAATACGTAAAAAAAGCGACTCAGAGCTAAAGACCTTCTTAGGGGCAATCCACCCCGTCTTAACCCCCGACTGCCGATGACCAAAGCTTAGTATGCCGCTCAGTATGCCAGACCACACAAATCCATATTCAAATATTCATGTTGTTTGGCTCGCCCTCAGTAGGTTCTATCTCTCCTGTCCCGCTCTCTCCCACCCTCTCCCCCTCTGCAAGGTCCTGGCAAATTAGAAACTATGCAAAACGATGCCAATGGCTGAATTTTAATTAGCAGACTAAGCCAGGCACGAAAGGGGTAAGCGGTGGGCTCTAGATGTATTACGGGGATTGGCACATGCCGCATCAGGAGCGGACTTAAGTGCGTTGGGGCAGAACCTAAGAAGGGGATATAAAATTAGGCAATCCTGGAAAGGTTTTTGCAAAAGGAAAAAGAAACAACTGGAGTTCCAAATAAAGCCTTTACCTAGGTCTTCGTTAGGGATTTATGAACCATACTATTTAAGTTAAAAGGGAGAAACAGGCATGAAACTGGAAATAGATGTAGAATACATTGCTGATAGAGTAAGAATAGTAAAATAGTAAAGTAAATGTGATTAAAAATACTTACAACATTTCCTAAATCACTTTTTTTCAAACTAAGAACGAAAAAAGTTGATATCCTGTATGCCATAAATGGAACCTTTACATGCACCCCAAAAATGAGGTGAACCAAACATAAATCTGGATATAATTGAGGTATAGATTTATCATCCCTAGGAAAGCAGCGAAAATTGTGCCATATCGTAAATTTAAAAGCTAAAAATACAGGGCTTTAATTCATGACTGAAATGCCATAAAATATGGCCCAGCTCTCTATTAAATTTCCCCAACAACGCCAACCGATTGCGGCAGGCATTTCACTCGCAGGTCACTAAATAAAACTCACACGACACCCCCACATATAAAGTTCCCGGCCAAAGAGCCAGCCCTGTGTCCTATGCATACGCATAAATAATAATGGGCATGGAGCACGGAAAACATGGGGGCTACGACGGGGTTACGAAAGGAAACTGGATACTGGGTACTGGGTACTGCGAACTCGTTGTGGCTGCCAGTGGGCCTCGCTCAACGGTTGATATATTATGCTGCTGGCTTCCAGAGCTCTTTGTTTTGCGGGGGCATAAAATAATTACGCGGCCTACCGCAAAATTCATTTTGCCAGTGTTTGAGAAAAAAAATGGAAAAACACCCCTGCAAAGTTAAGTGTGTTAAAGAGATACAAATGCATTTAAGAAGACAAATATCCGGGGAAGTTTCCACCTCGACTTATCGATTGGCACGGCGCACAGGAATTCAATTTGAAATGGCATATCCGAAAACAAATGACTGCCTAATGAGTTGCCCACTTAGCATAATAATTGAATGGAAGCTGCCTTAATATGCAAAGTGTTGCCTACTTTTGCGGGCCAGTTGGCCCGGAATGCCATTTGTTGTTGGTGGCTCGATGGGTGCTTATCCGGAAAGGGGGCGGGGCAGGAGAGGAAAGAGGAAAGGGAAGGCATGGAAAGGAGGGCGGTTGGACCGCCCGCGAGTCAGCTGCTCGGGAAGTGCAGCCCCATCATGTGCATGCGCAGGCCATCAGTTGCAGGAAAGGCCGTTTCAACCCGCCGCAGCCAGTGCAGGGTTAAGCTTGCAGCGAGTAAATGCGAAACGAGTTCGCCCACTCCCTCCCACTTCCACACACTTCCCCCCACTCTGCTGCCCTTTGGCAAGCAATCAATATTGCCGCCAGCTTTTGAGCGTAAATGAACGTAAAAGCTCTCGCTTGACTTGCAAAGCTTTTTTCGTGGCACAGACCACATGACTAGACTCGTGAGCGGAAATGGGGAATAAGGCTCAATCGGGATGAGTGCCGAAAACGAGACCCGAATCCCTAAAGCTAAGAGACTGAGTGGTTTAGCTTAGTGCCGAAAGCCGACAGACTGAGCACTAAATACCCAAAGCTTAGAGCATCATAA